TTGAATGGTCTAAATTATAGGTCCTACAACAGATACTTGGTTTGAGGCATGATAAAGTTGCTGAATGTAGATGATTGCGCCCTTAACGTCAATGGAGCTTTAAGCTACATACTGAGTTTCATTTAACAATCTACATCCTTTGTTAGGAATGTATTTGTACTGAACTCTTTTGCTTGCATAATGTACAAGTGAATCTTGGAAAATTGCTTCTGTAATTCAACTTAAAACCTGAAACCAATATAATGATAGACTCATTACATGCAAAGTGACATATGCCTTCGTTTTTTATAATTTCGATGATCCATTTTCAAAAAATATATATATTTCATTTCAGAGTTTGGCGTTTATCAACATTATTAGAAAATAAAGGCTTGAATAAAAGTGGAATTACAGAAGTAAATGGACTTTTGAACAATATTCACATTTTCTGAGTTATCCAGAAATGTAACGCTTGCATGATCTAATCCAAACCTCTTTTTTTCTTAAATGACTTTGTGAAAACTTACTATAATTAACCTTTTGCCAGTTACTTTCACATTGCTGTCTAAAGTTCAGACTCCTGACATTAAGGCCTCAGCATAATTAACTTCATATTAGAAAAGTCAAGGTTAGGAGATGTTGTTATGTATTCAATCATCTTGTGACCATAAATGGCTCCACATGTTTATTAGCTGCTATTGTACAAATATCCCAGTTTGCAAAAGAAAATGCCAGTAACAAGTTGCTGAAAGAGATTACTTGACTTCAAAAACTAAGTGCATCTTTGAGGAGAATCATTATTGCAAAAAAAAACAAAAAAGACAAAATGGGTTATTACTCAATTAGTGGGGATTTTGTGAAAGCTTCTGATATAGTACAAAACAACAACTTGACTCTTACTGCCTGGAAATGAAGGACTTGACATTTGAAGAGTGGTACAACCTTTTTTCCTCTCCGCCGTCGCCAAGACAACTCTGCATCCTGCCCGAGAGATTGAACTTGTAATGGCTTTAAATACCATCCATTGTCTCTTAACACATGCCAGCTAGGTCCAATCGTTATTGGCTTTGATGGAGGTGATGAATCTAAAGCAGGCAGGATAATTTTCCCCCATTTGAATAAAAGTGAGGTCAGGAAGGACAAGTCTTTCACAAAATGCCACGGGATGCAAGAAGATACACATTTCTATTTTTCCTCTCAAAACAACAAGAGGGCAAGTAGTTCCAAAGTCGCATAGTTCTTTTCTTATCACATCATTCTAACCGCCAGTTGTAGACACACTTTTATTGGGACTATATCAGCTTTTCACAACATCACACACATTTGGCAAAGGAATTCTCAATTAGCATATTCATGAGAGGAATACAGTGGAAACTTTGTAGCGACGGGAGATGTTGGGAGGGAGGGGTGGTGCTGCGTTTCCGATGCGTTTGTTGCGGAACAGAAAAAGGCAGATGGCACGGTGACTTTGAAAAATCTAAAATTAGGTGTGTTTTCGTGAACTTCATGCTCATTGACGATGTAAATGGCTCTGTCAGACTGTCGGGGAGACAATGTGGTGTGTGTTTGCGGCGTCTCCACTGAGGGCATGTTTGTTGATTGAAATCTGCTTTATACTAGAGGATTTTGACTGGAGTGGTTAAAATTCTAAAATGTATGGAAACATGCATTCTTGAAACATGTAGCAGGACTGCCGTTGGACATGGAAAGACCCACATTTGAGAAATATTCACCAATAATATTCCTTTAATGTGCAATGTGTAGAAATAGCAGGAAATACAAGGGGTGAACAACGAGTCTTGTTCACCCCTTGTTATGGATACAACTCCTGTTTCTTATAACTGCTTTTTTAATATCCTTAGAATTAAAGCGATGTTGGCAATTTCAATTAAATTTGATTTTGTATGGCCTTAAATTATTACAGCAGTTGTCTTGGAGGACTTTACACATGTTTCAATTTGCCAACAAGAGAAAAGATAAACAAACAAATAGAACACAGAAAATACAATAAAAGAAACACATTAGGATGACCAATGTCCTTAAATGTTCGTAAACTTCCTAGATCATCGTCTTTTGTACCCTTGTGCATCGGCTTGAATAATAACCCTGCATTTTCTGCTTTCTAGCTTTTTTGGCCAGACCGGATCTCTACTGAGTCTAGTTCAGTGGTCCTCGCGTCAATTGCCATCTACTGGTAGATCGCCAAGGCTGTCAGGAGAGTTGGGTTTATATGGCACTAACAACAAATGTACTTTGGTGCAAGGCCATGGAGACACTGCTACACAAGCAGAGCTGCTTTAAAGGCTGCGGTCACATGCTGCGGTCACATGCACAGCCCGGTTAAAGTGGGCCTGGGCCCACTTTGCGATTAGATCTGGGCTTTAGGTGCTATGTGACCACGGCAACAGGGCTTGGGCACGGTTGTTGCAAGTGGGCTTGGGCACACTTGGGAGACGTGGGCCTGAGCACGGTTGTAAAGCCCAGATGAGGCGGGTCAATATGGGGAGTAGGGGGATGAGGTGTGGTGGGGACGTGATATTGTGCGTCACACTACGTCTTACTGCTGCGGCCCGTTGTGACGCGCATTTTCACTCGTCTTTACAGCAGTCGCATACTTAGGTATCCTCCCTGCTTGTGTTAAACCTTTCATATAAGCCGCCAGGCCGTGGTCAAGGGGCGCTGGGGATTGTGTCACTCCAGAGCTAAAGGGAAGCGTTTCCTACGGGGAAAAGCTCCCTTCTGTTCTGACTCTCGCTGTCACAGTGTGGTGGTTTTGCAATAACACTTTAGAGTAGACGTTCAAGAATCAGACTTTATTTAATTGCCAGAACACCCCAACACACACTTGTATCCTGCCTGGCTCCTGTCATATTAGGCCTGAGTACTGGCCTAATATGATTGTTCAGGGATCTGTTCAAGCCAGAATTTGAGCTGTAGTATTTTGAATATGCTGCAGCACTTTTTTAGAGCTCATTCAGAGAGCCCAGTGAGCAGGGTGCAACAGTATAGTCTAACCTATTCTCCAAGTCTTCAAGTCAAAAGCCATTTTTTTTTATTCTGGCAATGCTTTTCATATGGTAAACGCTGCTAATGTTAGTTTGAGTCCATATGACTTCATTTTTGACTTGATTTGAGGATTTTTGGGAGAAAGACTGAAGGTGACAAATGACGCCCTCTTTGTCTTTGGTCCCGAGAAACAATCTTTTCAGTTTTGTCTAAGTTTAACTTAGGGCTGGGCGATATGGTAAAAAAGTCAAATCTCTATTTTATTTCCTGCTTTGGACGATTTTGATTTTAAATCGATTTTCATTCAAGTCACTGAAGACAGACTTTGCCCTTAAAAATATTTTTGATCTTTCCGCTCAATATTCAAGTTTCACAAAACTATTTTTAATTTGTTTCCCCCAATACGTATTATAAAGTATAATTCCTGTGCTACAGGAACTCTCACATTATCCTTCATTCGATTTTCAAATTGTTCACAAATTTTATTTTTTCAAAAGCCGATTAATTGCCCAAATTCGATTTATTGCCCAGCTCTAGTTTAACTGAAGACATTTGTTTTGCATATCCACTCACTGATCTATTGGATGCAGTGAATGGGTGAGTCCAATGGTCCATGTTCTCCTGCTGTCTGTGAGACATAGATTTGATTGTCGTCTGCGTAGTTATCATAGGACACTATGTGTTCGTCAACAGTGAACATTTCACAGGCGTTTTAATCTCACCGCTGATCAACATGGATTTGACAGCTCATCCTCGAGAGTTACTGTGTAGTGCACACACGTGCATGCAGAGGTTTTTGTTTTTATCACAACACATGCATGCGCACTTGACAGGTCATTCCCTGCTGATATGCATTTCTCTTTTGGCCGTGGACATCTGGTTTCCCGCTAGCCTGCTCTTGAATCCACATGTCCCGCACTTCCACAAACTCTTCCCCACTCTGTAAAGCTCGAAGGTTCACGTGTGTTCTAATCAAAAAAGCACAAAGCTGACATAATAAATTCTGGCCAATTTGTTATGAGACTGTGAAATATATGCTCAATGATCATGGCTTGAAATGATAAAAGACATGTAATTGTTTGAAATTGGTAAGACAATACATTATTTATCCCCCAGTGCATAGCAGTGTTTCATGATTTCCTCTACCATGAAAACATGCACTGTAGCTTTCAGCTCCCTGCACTGCGACCAGGGATCCTCTGAATAAGCGAATCTTAAACTCTGCTAGTTTGGCCTGTACCGGAATTGGGAATGACTGTTACAAGGTGCTGTGTGGCAGCAGTGGCTCAGTTGATTGATTCCCACTTGTTGTTGCATCCTTTATTTAGACTATTATCTTGCCCATATATAGATGTGGAATGCGGTCGGAAAGGTATTTTGACTTTTATACCTTTTTTGGTTTCGCCCCATTTATCAAACAGTGACTGATTAAATGATTCTGTCCTCAACACAAATCAAAGAGTCTCAAGATGCAGAATGGATTTTGCAATTACCTTGCTTTTGCAGAGAGGCCCAGACCATAACAAGGGAATTACTGTTGATAAAGGTTTTTATCTTAGGAGAGAAACAGTATTATTTTTGGATTTTCAAAATTATAGTGATACTACTTGCTTTGTCACTTCATGCTTTGGAATGTGAACTAATATATGATAAAATATAATATATGTATATTACTTATGTGTTGAAAATGTTATCGACCTACTTTTTTTGTTTATTTCAAATTTGAACGGGACTGTCTGCAACCATTACTATGCAATCTCAAAAACACTTTCACTTAGAAATTGGCTAAAGCACTCCATCAAAAACTAGACTAACTGTTTAATTTCTAGAGTTCCCCATAAATATATATTAAAAGCTAACTGGTCCGGACGTTATGTCGTAGTGGCACAGGACTTTTAGTCAATACTTTTTAGATAGAATTAGATAGAAATGGCGGAGTTGTGCCAGAATGTTTTTGACAGATATTTGCGTGGATGGATCTGAACATGACTCTCTTTTCAATGTGTGTTTTTCAGATATGACGCGACGCTGGTGCACCCTGGAGGCGGGCTTTCTGAGTTTTTACGAGAGCGAGAGGAGCCCAGTGGCTTTAGGCAGAGTGGACGTCACTGAGGTGGTCAGCGTAGCCATCAACAGCAGCGAGACCATGACGGGAGCTGGGTATGGCCACACACAAAAAAACATCAAATAGCTCACTCCAAAAGCCATGATTCCCACACATTGAGACAGAAAATAAGATTCACAAGAAAGAAAAAGATGAGGCTTTGGAGAAGTGTATAATCCATTAACTCAAACTCTTGGCCTCACTATTTTTAAATAATGGGGACTTGATGGGTCCATGGACCCATTTCATTGGCCGAACCCATAGCATTGAGTTATGTTATGTTGTAAAATACTTGTAAAGGAACCCATGACCAAACCACACTGAATGGTTTGTGTTAGATGGGAACTTTAAAATTGTTTTAGTCATTTGTTGATGAATTTTATTTATTGTCACATTTTTGACTAGCGGTGCAATACCCAATCATCCCGGGTTTTCCAAATCAATGTATGCCCACTATTGCCCCATACACTAACATAATAGCTCTCATAAATCATACTTTACAAGTCAGGGCCCGTGTAAGTTTAAAGACACACAGGCACTACATATTAAAACTGATTTATTCTCATTAAATAAACTGTAATTGATTGATAGTCCCAGCTCTTCCAGGTTTTAAGATACATCCGCGCTCTCATCATGCATCCCCTCAGCATAATCTCTACTCCACCATTATTCAATTTAACAGGAGCTATCAAGGCTTTACGACGGTTATATTTCCTGTTTACTTGAGCAGCGCTGCATTTGCTACTTTAACTGCCCTCCACCTCGTTCAGCTCTGGCGCCACTGCTCACACGTCTGCAAAGTTAATATTCATTTCTTAACTTTTGCTGACTACAAACTTTCTGGAGGTACAGTGCACCAGATGTCCTGATCTCCCTTACATTGCACGGTGATGTTGCGAGTTTGCCGGAGTCTGCTAATGTCCAATGATTAAACATAAGGCTTAATGACTTGAGCAGATGTTATGAAAAGCCAACCGTTCTTTTATTTGTAAATGTTATCCACACAGAAAAATAGGGCCACATCTGGTTAGCGCAAAGTGAAACCTTTATTATGAATACAACAATGTGACAGGGCGTAATGATCATTTCTTTAGCCTTGCAAATGTTTTTAATATGCATTCACTGCTATTAAAGTTACTTTTTAAAATGGAAACTTTTTTTTATTTTGAACTGTCAGAATATAGTCATGTTTCAGATTGACATCAAAATGAATCCTTTGCAATGGAGGCGAGCGATCACAAGTTTTCCAATTTTTCTACATGGCTCAAGAAATTCACTATGAGTGCCTGGTGACAACTTTGGGCGGGAGGGGTAATGAATAGATGGGTAAACAACACTGATGCTCCTCTTCCACAAACTCTGCAGCCAATGCTTTGCTTTGTTTATCAACTGTGTCAGCGTGTCGAAGCGTTTCATTGGCTCAGTGAGTTTCCTTTCTGTGGATTGGTTCAGAGCGTTTCAATGCACCTTCCTGGTTTTACAACTTTCAGTGGATAATGCAGTATAAATGATGGATTCATATTTCTGATGTTGTGTAGTTAGTAGACTTCATATAGTTTTAGAGTTGCCTCTCTTTACACTTATTGTCAAGACTTCAGTCATCTTACTATTTGTATCACTGACAAAACGTCTTCAACTTTTTTTTACTGCAAACTGGACACGATTTGTACCTTTCATGTTGAACATCTCAATACAAACTTCTGCCAAACAAAATAGTGAAAACAGGCAAAAAACCTCAACATCTGGAGAGAGCCATCAAACACAGCCCACTAAGCAAGCCGACGTTGAATCAACGTCATTTCAACATCGTAGAATATAGGTCACTGGTGGGTGCAGAATGAACGTTTTCTCGACGTCGTTTCCTGACGTCACCTCAACCTCCAAATGTTACGTTGATGGCACGTCAATTCAAGGTTTGAATGTGGTACGGAACCGGTCGGGTCTGACGTCCTATCAACTTCTCATATGACCAAAATATTGACGTTTTTATGACGTTCGTTTTCAGTCGTTCCCACTAAGAAAGCAGATGTCAAAACAACGTAATTTCAACGTCATCTGGACGTTCATTCAAGGTTGCAATGTGGTACAGAACCGGTCGGGTCCGACGTCCTATCAACGTCCTATCAATTATATGACCAAAATATTGACGTTCATATGACGTTCGTTTTCCGTTGTTCCCAATAAGCAAGCCGATGTCAAAACGATGTCATTTCAACGTCATCTGGACGTTCAAATGACGTCGAGGCCACGTTCATTCAAGGTTGCAATGTGGTACAGAACCGGTCGGGTCCGACGTCCTCTCGACGTCTTATATGACCAAAATATTGACGTTTATATGACGTCCATTTACAGTCCTATTGACCTACTTAACCTCTGCAGAATCACTTACTAGTCGAGACATACTTTTTGCAATAGGCAAGGCAAGTTTATTTGTATAGCACAGTCAAAACAAAAGGAAACTCAAAGCATTGAACAAAAGATAGAAACAATCAAATAAGGCATTACAATTATAAATATTGACAGTAAGTTAAAAAGATACAAATAAAATCTCTCATAAAATATCTCAGTTGAAGCAGAAACAGAAGTGTTTTAAACCTGGATTTTAACATTGTCAAAGAAGAAGCCTGTCTCACATTTCCAAGAAGACCGTTCCAGATTTTAGCCTTGTGAATCTGAAATGCAGCTATATCATGTTTAGTTCTGACTCTGGGCAATAAACGATAAACACAGCATTCAAAAATCATTAGAACAACTGTAGTAGAAGGATATCAATCATTATTGCAAATGGAGCTGCATTAAAAATCATGTTTCTCTACATCAAAGTACAAGTTAAACCACACAGGGCACAGTGTTATGCACACTACTGTACTGAACAGTTCATGCCAAAGTAAAAAAACATGATTGTAGCTGATCCAAACTATGTTTGGATCAGTATTAAAACAGGCACAAGCTACACTCTAGGTTCCCCAGATGTAAAAACACAATCTGAAAGAATGCATTTATTGAATGTTGATGTTCCAACATGTGTCCTCTCTTGGTCTTCAGTCTCTCATAACAAAGTCCAAGCACAGCACCTGAAAATGTGGAACATGTTTAGTTTCAACATAATGTGGCAAAGTGATATAACAACACATAACTTTCTATTAATGCCTCAAACCACTCGATCCATCACCATGTGATACAAACCTTGGCACTGCACTCGCTCGAGACACTGGAAGACACTCCGTCTGAGAAACTTGGGATAAGGCTTTGGTCATTGGAGTAATTCCATGTAAAAAACAATTGCAAATGTGCATTTGTTTTGCACATGGACAAATGAGCCCTGAAAGCTACTTACCCTGTATTACTCTACACATGTTGCATTTCCGAGGGGGCATTTTCCCCTTGTTGCTCTTTTCCCTCATCTTGAGTGAGTTGCTGAACAATCTGAGAAAAAGATAGATGTTTTCGAAGGGAATACACCAAATAATGGTTTATTCTAAAAACAACATAATAATACAGAAGAACAATCAATGTGTGAGAGTGTGATTCTTACCTTTGAACACCTTCAACACAGTCTGACACCTGTAAGACTCAAACACACATGACACATTAGGAATACACATAGAACATTAGTTATTGCAAGAATCATGAAATTATACTCTATGGATTTCACAATAGGGCGACAGTAGCTCAGTTGGTCGAGCATTGGCCTTAAGGCCAGAAGGTTGTGGGTTCAATTCCCACCTCTGCACCTTCTCCATCGACTCCCACTGATGACTGCTGTCGTTGTGTCCTTGGGCAAGACACTTAACCCCACTTTGCCCAAAGCCCCCACTGAAAGATCAAGGCTATGCTCACACTCAGAGAGCAGCCGTCCTCCTGTGGACTCACCACCTGCAGAGGGTCAGTGAGGGGCTGGTGCTATGAGACTTGGGTGGCATCTCTGACTGCCACCCCCCTGACCCAGAAATGGATTAAAGGGTAGAAGATGGATGGATGGATGGATTTCACAATAATTGACTGCATTAGCAAAGGTAAATGTATTTTAATTAACGTATGGCTGGTTTTGAAGTTTATAAGAAAAAGTAAGAAATTGAATAGAGTTGCAAGCGCTAGTTAGCTTGCTACCAGTAGATTAATGGATATTTAATATTTGCAGCTAACAATAACAAAAATAACAACTGTAGTGGCTCATTTAAACAGCCACAGTGAGAAGAAGTGAAAGTCTCTGACATTGAAGACCTGGGAAGACATTAAATCCATTTATTAAACAAAGCAATACATGAACATTAAACTCTCTTTCTGCAGCAGGTAACATCTGTGTGCTCCTATGGTCCCACAGTCTCTGGTCCCACACCTGAACTCAACTCCAACTGATGACATCACAGGTGTCTAAATGATGGGAGTGTCCCAAATATTAAAGCTGATCTCCCTGTTTTTAAACTTAGTTTACTAAGTACTGTTGTCTTTTTGCAGTTTATAAACCATTGTGAAATATACAGTAACTTTACATTTTAGAATTGAATTATTATTTTAAAACTCAAGAATCTTAACCTTTTTTAACACATAGTTTGTTGGACAGTCTAACCTAACAATTCTAATGTGTTAAAAATAGTTTGAAATATGAAAAACAATATCATATTTTAAACTTTAACTTAAAAACTAAAAAAAGGTGTCTCCCTTTCAGCTGAGCAGTGCCAGCCGTTATTATTATAGATTCATGCACTGGCAATTCAAAATACAGATAATATACAAAATATACTTAACAAATTCCACGTATACGTGAGAAAACAACTTACTTTCTGTCTCCAACTCTTTTCAATGTGGAAATGATACATATATATCTAAAAACTGTGCAGACTGTGTACTTACTAGAGAGGGTGATTCGAAGTAAATAAAGCAGGGCAGCGACAGAGGTACAGATTCAACGTCATATCAACGTCTGGGAAGGCATTGCTTTACGTCCAGATGCACACCTTACGTCGTTTAGACGTGGAAAACAGGTCCTCGACCGACTCACGTGTCAGGCTGTAACCTCGCATAAGTGTGCGTCGGTTGTTTAGGGTGTTATCTA